CTGAAGGCAGAGATAGGCACAGCATTTACTTTACCAAATAGGCTCAAGGTTTTAGTTTAGAGGACCATATGTTAACGACAGGTGCACTTAGTAGCTATCATATCTTCATATTCTTTATAAGCAATTGAGCCATCGGGCTCAATGGTCAGAACACTCAAGGGGCTATATTTGGCAGGTACACATGATGGTCTTGGCACTGAGGAGTCAAGCTTCTCATAGATGATGTTCTGCACCATCGTGTGAACTGGAGAGCCATACCGATGCCCAACTGCCCTTGGACAGTCCCCTTTACAGTATCGAGGGTTGTATCTGTACGGAGCCACAATCCAGTTGTCCCACTTTAGTTGACTAAAGCTAAGTCTAAAGTCATGGAGCTCACACTCATTTTGGGGAAAAAGAAACTGTTTGAAGTATTCGGTCAGATTGAAGGAAGCTGGAACTAGGGGCTTCTTCAATTCAGAGCTGACAGTTTCCTGACCTCTCCGGTGACGGGAAGATCTTCCACCCTCAGCAGGCCTTTCTCCCACGGGATAGGCAGACAGACTTCTCTTCTGGTCAGCACGCTGTGAAGGCTTCCTTTTATAGTGAAGGGAATACCGCCTGTGATAAGCCTGAGCACTTGTGTCATTCAGATATAAGATCAGTGAGGGGGGCACCAGAAGACTCATGTTAAACGGACCATCCTGTGCTGAAGGATGCTGCAGCTGGTCTTTCATGCATGTAAAATTTACAGACATGTGAATACTTCTCTTGTTGGAGGCCACTAGTGGCTGTAGGAGGGTGGTTACATCAATCTCAATCCATTTGTGCTTCTTTCTATATTCGAACTGTGAGTTAAAGGTAAATGAGTATGGAGCTCTAGAGAGAGTCTTGCTAGAAGACTTTGGCTCCTTTATCACCAGGTTGCACACACATTTAACAGCAGAGGAAAAAGAAACTGTGTCGTTGAGAGTGTATAGCAAGACTGACTTTAGTAAATGTTCAACGGCAGTAACACGATCCAGGTTAAACAGCAGGTCCACTGATGGAAGGATTCCTGAGAAGAAAAACAATCAACCAGTACTGCTTGAATACAAATCAAACATAATAGGAAGACAAGTCAAGGAATTTGTACTTTGTAACATGCTTTCTCCCTTTTCTTTCCCCTTACTTCCTCAAGCCTCAAAAAAAAAAAAAAGAAAGAAAGAAAGAAAAGAAAAAGGTGGGATGGGGGAGGATTAATATAGAAAATGAAGGTAATTGGTACCATAACTAATTCCCAGCAACCACACCTGGACATTTTATCTTCAGAAAGTCAGAACAGCTTTGGTGGTGAATTAAAGCAACAGGAAGTCATTACATTCTGAAGTTTTAGTCTTAATTTGCTCCAAACATATAGGAAGATAATAAGGAAAGTAGTAGTATCTCTTGGAGATTCTCTAGAGAGAAAACCATAATAAAAAGAAAACACTTGGCAGGCTTGTTAAGAAGTCATTCTAAACCCTAGTGAACAAAGTCAATTTAAAAAAACTTAATTCTCCAAGGTAATTAAAAAAAAAAAAAAAAAAAAAAAGAAAGAAGGAAAAGAAAAAGGTGGGATGGGGGAGGATTAATATAGAAAATGAAGGTAATTGGTACCATAACTAATTCCCAGCAACCACACCTGGACATTTTATCTTCAGAAAGTCAGAACAGCTTTGGTGGTGAATTAAAGCAACAGGAAGTCATTACATTCTGAAGTTTTAGTCTTAATTTGCTCCAAACATATAGGAAGATAATAAGGAAAGTAGTAGTATCTCTTGGAGATTCTCTAGAGAGAAAACCATAATAAAAAGAAAACACTTGGCAGGCTTGTTAAGAAGTCATTCTAAACCCTAGTGAACAAAGTCAATTTAAAAAAACTTAATTCTCCAAGGTAATTTAGAACACTTGAGACTGAAAACAAATGGAAGTTCTAAAACCCATAACAAAGCATGTTATCATGGAAGGAGGGTTTTAAACAGCCACAACTGCCCTTTTGGTTTACAATGGATATAAGTCATGAGCTACTGAATATAGTTTTTAAAGCACTGCTCCATTCACACACATAAGACACCGAGCTACTGACTCAAATTGACTGACACTTTTGCTTCTCACAGAAAGCAACAAACAAGAGAATATCCTGTTTAACAGGGCACACCAATAGCTCTAAGAAATGTTTTAGGGTCATTTCCTGACCAACAGCTTAGAAGAAAGGAAAGAGATGCTAACCTTCTCCAGTAGCACTTTCTTCAGCCTTTTTTTTTTTTTTTTGCACTGGCTGGTAAAGGGATCTGAACCCTTGACCTTAGTGTTATAACACTGCTCTAACCAGCTAAGCTAATCAGGCAGGCCTTTGCCTCAGCTTTTAAAGCCAGTGAGTCTCTTTTAGTTCTAAAATTCTGTATTAGCCCACCTTAACCATTGAGGGAATTAGGAGGAAATAAGATCAAGTACCAGTTTTGTTTCAGATATTGAGTATTATGCAAAATAAAATGCAGTTCAAGGAGCAAGGCCTAGCTCCTTTCTGTAATTGAAATGCAGCAGCTTTTATCATCTTCCCTTCACCCAGTTAACCAATCTGCACTTACACACCTGTCACCTGGTCTCCAGGAGCCTGCTTGTGCTGGGCACTAGAGGTGAAGAACCGAATAGTGTTGTAGCGGTGACTTCTATTGGATTTAGGAATCCCCTCCTTGGTAGCATATGCCCTATAGAGCTTCTTCATGTAGTGCAAAGCTCTGGAGTCTGGCTGCAGCCTAGGGGTCCCACCTTGACCATCAGACAGAACCTTGAAGAGAGGGGGAAGGAAGCCAGATCTGTCTCTCCCATCTACAGACTGCAGCAAGGACCAAGGATCAACCTCAGATTCCAACTCAGCACTAGCTGCAATCTGAGCTTGTCCCCTAAAAGCCAGAGAACCAAGGCTAATAGGAGAACACAGCCAGGTAAAGTAGAAAAACCAAAGGAAGAATTTGGTGGGAAGTGTCATGGCTTGCAAGAACTTGGAAGAAACACATTTCCCCATACCAGCCTTCTTCCTAAAAGCCAGGAAAATCCTGGCTTGGTCTCTTAAATAAATTTTAGGTGTGTGGGTGGAGTATAACATCACTTCTATAATCAGGCCTCAAGGATGCCTAGCTGAAGATAATTTTTATCATGTCTATATCAAACAGCTGGTAACACTCTATTTGGCCGATTTGTCGTCATTAGATACAGATTTCTTTGATTATTTAGCTTTCCTCTCCCTTATTCCCTGGAATTTACTTAAAACCAGCCAGGCCAGGTCCTAGTTTAACAGACTAGCTGTGCAGCTGAAAGTCTAAGAGAAATTGAGGACTGATCTTAAAATAAAACCTCTCATTTTTTTAGAAAAATTAGGATTCTCAAAATGTTCCTTAGGTGCTTGCTGACACTTCCATGGCATGTAGAAAAGCTAACTATTCATGATGATACCCAGATCTGTTGGCATGCAATTTATGTAATTGGGTTCACTCTTCCTCTCTATTCATCTACACCAACGCTCTCACTTCCAGGTGCCTAGAACAAGTAGTTATTTACTGCATTTTGATTTGGAGGGTGTAAGTCACAATTGGAATAGAAATTCCAGAGAGCAGAGAACTGTTAGGTTGCCCAGTCCTCCAGGGGTGGCTTAGTATAGAATATGTACTTGAAATATTACAATTGTATTTACAATGTGCCTAAAAGAGTAGGACATTGACTTTAACCTTGACTAAGTTTTAAATATATCTTGATGTCCTTCAGTCTGCACATACGTCTACATACTTTGGATGAAAGGTTTTGAGATGTTTGCAGGTGCTATAAAATAAGTGAGTGTTTTGTTATTAATCACTCAAATAGTGGTCCTTAACTATTGCAAGTACTTATGTTCTTGCCTTGGAGCTGAGACCAGGCTAGATATCACTTTTCAGAAAAATGAGGCAAAGGTGTTCCATGAAAAGCTGAAATGAAGGGATATACAGTGCAATCTGGAAGACTATTTGCTGGAAGAAAATCAACCCACACTCATAGAACAAGATACAAAACCAGTTTGTGCAGTGTCTAGATGGATAAAACTGAGGCATGTTTACAAAATGTTCACTGCCTGCCAGGCCTCCCTGGTCTGTGGCTAGTAAGCGATGTTACAAAACACTCCCCAACTGTTGAATGAGAGCTTAGTTCTACATTACTTGTGGCCAGCAATCTCATTAACAAAACATTTACAGACACTGCAACGAGTAGAAAAGTCAGTCAGCTGTACAGGACAGCAGCATCATTAAGCAGAATGCACTTTCGGGAAAACAGTAGCGCCTCACACGGAAGTTCCCTTGCTTTCACCCTGGGGAGTGGAAAAGTGAATTTGGTCATCGTGGTTTCTCCCCCTTCCTCCCCAGACTAAACCAACTGGGGAGGAATCTGGCTGCTGTTGAGGTGGCCTCTTTTTTCCCTCCTACCACCACTAACAGCGTTAATCAATGGCGTGACAACAATTTGAATGACTTCTGTGGCTGAATTCGAGGAAACGTTTGCATTATATCTTGGGAAGTCTACAGGCTGCCAGTGGACTGACTCTAAGGCAGAGGTTACCAAGAGAAGCCCTAGATGTGCCCCTGGTTTGGTCGCTGATGATCTGAAAATAACCGAGTCCACTTTCAGCTCCCGGACAGGGCCACACGAAATCTGGCATTCCGCAGTCGTGGGGCGGCCCCGCCTGAGCGCGGCCCCGGGTCAGCCGGCCCCTTCGTGTTCACCTCCTCGCCCCCTCGGGCATCTGGCCGCTTCCCGCCTGGGGCGCTACAGAAACGCGGGAGGCTAAGGAGAGCTGCGAGCGCCTCCGCACCGCCCCCCGGAGCCCGCTCAACCCACCCCGCGGCCCAGGCAGGCCCCCAGCCGGCCCTCGGGTCAACAGGCCAGGCCACTTCTCTCTAGGACGGGGAGCAACAGTAGCTTCCCCTGGAGACAACAGAAGAATGGTATTTCCCGGAAGTGACCTCACGGCCTCCGCGAACTGCTTCCGATCCTGCCGGAGGTGACGACCGGAGGCGGGTGGATCGGCGACCGTAGAGGGCGAGGTGACCCTGGTGCGGGAGTGGGGTCGGGTCGTGCAGTCTTGGTGGTCCCGGGGTGGGGAGGTGGGGCGTGCTCTCGGGCTGGGAAAAGATGGGTACCGGGCGGGCATTTGGGTTCGGGGGACCCCGCGCGGGCCGCAGCGCATCCCGAGACTGACCCCGCGCCTGCTCGCCTCGGTCTTGCAGGGCCGCCGCGACCATGGGCCTAGAGTTTGGGAATCTGACGCGGATGCGGCATGTGATCACCTACAGCTTGTCGCCCTTCGAGCAGCGCGCCTTCCCGCACTACTTCAGCAAGGGCATCCCCAACATGCTGCGCCGCATTCGGGCGTCCTTCTTTCGCTCGGTGCCGCGTGAGTGCCGCGGGCAGGCCGAGGGCCGGGCGCCCGGGCTCCCCATCGACTGTAGTAGTAACTGCGGCTCCCTCAGTGGGCGCTCGCCGTCGGCGGGCACTGTGTCACTTGCCGTACACACCTTTCTCATTGAATATACCTAACGGCCCTTGAGCTGGTCGTATCATTCTCCCCCTCCCACAAGGGGTCACAAAGAACTGAAATGACTGGCTTAAGGTCACTTGGGTGACTCCAGCGCCTACCGTTGAGGTCATCTTTACTCACTTATTTCCTATCAGGGATTAAATGTTTTGTGTTAAATGCGCAGCAGCTAGTGATGATAGTTGCACGACATTGTGAATATGCTAAGAATCACTGACTTGTACACTTTAAAGTGAAATTTATGTAAATTTTCATCTCAATTCACTTATAAACAGCAGGGGAGAGATGGGAAAATTTTGCTGACAAATTTTCCTGGGTGGACCTCTTCCTTTTGGTCACCTGTAAAATTGGGTGTGTAAATGTAACGTTTCTTGATCTTCTTGTTTAAAAGTGGTTTTTGGAAACAAGAGAGCGATAGGAGGGCAGAAGCTGCTTAAGTCAGAAAAGAAGACTGTTGTTAAAATTGCGAATGTTGTGTCTTATATGTGCTCACTGCTTCCTCTCACTTGTTTTTTAAAGCATTTGTAGGGTTTTATCTTGTCTACACGTGGGGGAACCAGGAGTTTGAGAAATCCAGAAGGAAGAATCCAGATGCCTATGAAAATGACAAGTGAGCAGCTCATTTGGATGACGGTTTCCTGTCTCTGAAACACACTTCTCTGGGAGAGGAGTCTGCGTTATAGGGTCTCGAAGACACAATAAACTTCTTATGGACTGCACTGTTGTGATTTTACATTTTCGTGAACAGAATCCTGCATGTGGATAAACTTCTTATGGACTGCACTGTTGTGATTTTACATTTTCGTGAACAGAATCCTGCATGTGACTGCTAATATATAAGCATGAAACTCCCCTTCTCAGCATGAGTCTAAGCAGTTTTGCTAGTCTGGGGTTGTGGGAAGGAGCAGAGCTCACCCTTTATTCTATACTCTACAAGAAAGTAGCTGCACCTGACCAGTTGTGGGTGGCATGGGCGGTGGGGACTTGTGTACAGGAGCTGTTGGTTCTTGGCCCTCTGCTCTCATAACATTTAGTTACTATATCGTTAACTACTGTGTGTTAGGTACTCTTCTTAGCCACACAAGTGAACTCTTTTAAACCTCACAAGAACCTTGAAAATATTACTACCTTCATTTTGCAGGTGAGGAAACAGGCACAGAGAGGTTAAGTAATTTTCCCAAGATTATACAGCAGTGAATGGTAAGAGTCATGCATTAAGTGTATGCTCTTAAAGCTATGCTCTACTTCCTTTCCTTCTAAGGCAGGCCTGCCCTTAGCCTGAGTCAGCTATAAAAGGAGGGGATGGGGTGGTCTCTTTGCCTCTATTGCAGGCATAAGTGAACTATGGATGTTTTTGTACTGGGGAGCCAACAATGGTTTTTAACCACATGTGGTTCATAAAGTTTAAAATATTCTGGTCTATGGAAAAAGTTTACTCCTGTTGTAAAGCCTTTGACTTATCTTTTTAGTAGAAAAGTTACCGTTTTCCCTTCTCCAGGACATGGGTATAGGCGTGGCTGGTAGTTTTATGCTTCTGGTTCCCTGCTCGGTATTCAGAAACTCTCTTTTTTAAGGACGCTTCTGGTCAGAAGCAACTTTCAGTCTGGCTGAAGCGATATCTTTCCTTCTTATTCTAAGGAATGCTGTTTCCTTTTAAGGACCAAAGTTAATTCAGATCCCGGTACAGGCCAGCCAGCAAAAACAAACAAACAAAAAAAGTTTATAGGATAAATTGCATAGGATGTGGGGGAGAAGGCCGAGTATAATAATCATGGACCCATACTCTTAATATATTTTTGAATTTTTAAGTTTTATCATTATACAATGTAAACATTTTTTGTGGCCCTTTACCAATTTCTCCCTAACTCTTCTTCCCACTCCCCCTTTCCCACCTCTGGAGGCCTCAGTTCTGTTTTCTCCTTTTGAAAGTTTAAGGGATTATTGTGATTTTTATGTCTTTCTTTTTTGTTTTGTTTTGTTTCTTTGTTTTTTAGCTCCCACTTAAGATTGAAGACATGCAATACTTCTCTTTCTGTACCTGGCTTATTTCACTTTACATAATTTTTTCTGAGTTCATCCATGTCGCTATGAATGGCAGAATTTCATTCCTTTTTATGGCAGAGTAGTATTCCATTGTGCTTACCACATTTTCCTTATCCAGTTGATGGATATTTAGGTTGGTTCCAACTCTAAGCTCTCTGAATAGAGCTGTGATAAACATTGGAGTACAGGTATTCCTTTGAAGTGATTTCCATTCGTTTGGGTATATACTCAGTAGTGGGATTGCTGGATCATATGGCAGTTCTATCTGTAATTGTTTGAGGAAACTCCATTGTGGAGGATATTGACTAAGAAGTTATCAATGAGATAGAAATAAAACATGTATTTCTCAGGACCAAAGTTCTTAGTGTAGAAGGCCAAAGCCTGTAGTTTAGAGGACCAAAGTCCTGTAGTTTAGGGGGCCAAAGCCCAACCCTTTAGGAAATCATGTAGAAATGCTAAGACTAAGAAAGACCAGAAAACATTCACAGGACTAAAGCCTTTGATGTAGGTAAGAGAATTGAAGTACAGCAAAAAGTGATTGCTCTGGGGCAGTTGCCCTTGGTGCAACTAAACCTAAATGATGGGAAAGTATGTAAGCTAAAATCTTAAAGGATATTCTGCTAGTTAGTGCTTGGGGGATGGTCCGCATTCTGCCCTAAGTTGTTTCTTTGAGTTTCTTGGGGAGTTAACCACTTCAGTGACTATCTCGTTTCTTTTTGTACATCATATCGCTTACTCCTTTTGATGGTAAATTGCTTGAACTATTTTAAGTTACACATGCTTTAATGAAGGTTGTCATGTAGTAGCCAGTTTATGTTTTCACTATGATTGATTAACCATCTGTTTTTCTTCTGTAACTTTCTTGTCTTTACAATAAAAACTGAAGTAAAAACTGACTTGGGGCTGTGCCCTGGCTCTCCTCTCTTGAAGACATTTTCCTCGGTGCAGTCTCTGGGCTTCTCATTGCTTTGAATACATGGGCTCTGAATAATCTTTTGCGTCTCCATCACTCTGCGAGAGGTGACACTCCATACTGTTTTCTATAACAGATGCATTAATTTATGGTCCCACCAACAGTGTAGAAGTGTTCCCCTTTCCCAGCATCCTTGCCAGCATTTGTTACTCTCTTTGATAATGGCCAGTCTAACTGGTGAGATGATATCTCAATGTGGTTTTGATTTGCATTTCCCTGATGCTGAGTGGTTTTGAGCATTTTTTCATGTGTCTGTTGGCCATTTGTTTATCTTCTTTTGAGAAATGCCTGTTTGGCTCCTTTGCCCATTTTTAATGGTTACTTGTTTTCTTACGATTAAATTATTTGATTTCCTTGTATATTCTGGATATTAATCCCTTGTCAGGTATACTTTGCAAATATTTTCTCCCATTCTGTAGGCTGTCTTCGCTGTTAACTTTCTTTTGCTGTGCAGAATCTCTTCAGTTTGATATAATTCCATTTGTTTATTTTTTTTGTTGCCTGTGCTTTTGGGGTCTTGTTCATAAAGTCTTTGCCCAGACCTAATTCCTGAAGTGTTTCCCCTATGTTTTCTTTTAGTAGTTTTATATATTTTAGGTCTTATATGTAAGTCTTTAATACATTTTGAGTTATTTTGGTATATGGCGAGAGGTACAGGTCTAGTTTCATCCTTCTACATATGGATGTCCAGTTTTCCCAGCACTAGTTATTGAAGAGGCAGTCTTTTCCCGATTATATGCTCCTATTTCCCTTGTCAAATATCAGTTGGCTGTAAGTATATGGGTTGATTTCTGGGTTCTCTATTCGTTCCATTGGTTTGAGTATCTTTTTATGCCAGTTCCATGCTGTTTGGGTTACTATCTATAGCTTTGTAGTATAATTTGAAGTCAGGTAGTGCAATGCCTCTGGCCTTATTTTTTTGTTGTTCAGGATTGCTTTGGCTATTTAGAGGCTTTTGTTGTTCCATATGAATTTGGGATTGTATTTTCTATTTCTTTGAAGAGTGTCATTGGTATTTTGATGGGGATTGTGTTGAATCTGTAGATTGCTTTGGGTAGTATGGTCATTTTCACAATGTTAATTCTTCCAATCCAAGAGTATGGAATGTCTTTCCGTCTTTGTGTGTACTCTTTTCTCTCAACAGTGATTTGTATTTCTCATTGTAGAGATCTTTCACCTCTTTGGTTAACTTATTCTGAGGTGTTTTATTTTTATGGTGACTGTTGTAAATGCACTTGCTTTTCATTATTGGAGTTCATTATTGGAGTATAAAAATGCTACTGATTTTGGTGTGTTGTTTTTGTATCCTACAACTTTATTGAAATTGCTTATCAGTTCTAAGAGGTTTTTTTGGTAGAGTTTTTAGGTTTTTCTATATATAGGATCATGTCATCTGCAAACAGGGAGAGTTTGACTTTGTCTTTTCTAATGTGGATGCCCTTTATTTTTTTCTCTTCCCTGATTGCTCTGGCTAGTACTTCTAATATGTTAAATAGTAGTGTTAAGAGTGGGCATCCTTGTTTTGTTCCTGTTCTTAAGATCATTCAGAATGATATTGGCAGTGGTTTTGTTGTATATGGCTTTTATTGTGTTGAGATACTTTTCTTCTATACCTAATTTGCTGAGAGCCTTTATCATGAAGAGATGTTGAATTTTGTCAAATGCTTTTTCTGTGCTGTTGAGATAATCATATGATTTCTGTCCTTGATTTTGTAGATGTGGTATATCCTGTTTATTGACTTGCATATGTTGAACCATCCTTACCTCCCTGGGATGAATCACACTTGATCATGGTGTATAATTTTTTTGATGTGTTGGTGTATTCTGATTGCTAATATTTTATTGAGGATTTTTGTGTCTATGTTCATGAGAGATACTAGCTTTAGTTTTCTTTTTTGTTGTATCTTTTCTGGTTTTGGTATCAGGGTGATGCTGGTGTCATAAAATGAATTTAGGAGAAACACTTGATCATGGTGTATAATTTTTTTGATGTGTTGGTGTATTCTGATTGCTAATATTTTATTGAGGATTTTTGTGTCTATGTTCATGAGAGATACTAGCTTTAGTTTTCTTTTTTGTTGTATCTTTTCTGGTTTTGGTATCAGGGTGATGCTGGTGTCATAAAATGAATTTAGGAGAATGGCCTCTGTTTCAATTTTTTGGAATAGTTTGAGGAGAATTGGTATTAATTCTTCTTTAAAATTTCGCAAAACTCAGCAGTAAAGCCATCTGATCCTAAGCTTTTCTTTATTGGGAGACTGCTGATTACTGCTTAAATCTCATTGCTTGTTCAGGTTTTTTATTTCTTCTTGGTTCAGTCTTGGTAGTTTGTATGTGTTCAGCAATTTCTTTCCATCTACTATTTTTTTCTTTCTTTCCATCTACTACTTTTGGGATTGGATTGTTCTTATTTTTCTAGTTCTTTGAGATGTAATGTTAGGTTGTTTATTTGAAGTTTTTCTACTGATGTAAGCATTTATTGCAATAAAGATCCCTCTTAGTACTGCTTTTGTAGTATCCCACAAGGTTTGGCATGATGTATCTTTAGTTTTGTTAGTTTCAAGACATTTTTTGATTTCCTGTTTAACTTCTTGGACCCATAGGTCATTCAGGAGCCTGTTGTTTAATTTCCATGTGTTTGTATAGTTTTCAGAGTTCCACTTGTTTATTAATTTCCAGTTTTAAACCATTGTGGTCTGAAAA